GATTTATACTGTTGTTGTAGAGGAAAAAAGTCTGGTCCACAGTGTTCGGGGAAAAACTCTGCTGGAATGTCCCTAACAGTCAGCTTACTAATGAAAAATGCAGAAGGTATTTGAGTCTATCATCCCAGTAAATACAGTAATTTTATTTTTTCTGTTCCATATTCTTTCCAGTTTCTTGAGAATATGGAGTTGTATCTATGATTGATGGTAGGGGTGGGCTACAGCTGTGAATATGAACTGCTTAGGCAAAACAAGTTACCTAGAATTCGGATAAACTTTCATGTTTGCTCTGTTTCCAACATTTTTTTGTTCCAAGTAGTATTATAAAACAGTTGTGGAAAATAAGTAATAGTTCTGGCTTTAGTTTACAGCTGTCTTTTCAGGCTGAGAACTAAGCAGCATCATCAGGGTTTAGAGAAACAAGCTTCAAGATTGCTTAAAGATAGATTGTAGGACCAAGGCGCACAGTGAAGTTGCTTTGGAAATGCAAAGTTGGTGCATGCCATAAGCAGAAGTTTGTCTCTTGTTGCTTCTCAGCTGAGTAAGGTTCAGTGGCTGATTTTCATCTTGGAGTTATGTAACATTATTTCTTTCTGCAGGAATACCATGGGGATACCAACTGCTGAATTCTTTTGGGGAAAAAAAGAGTGCCATGGGGCACTTCCATTGTGACAATGGGACAGAGTTTACATCTGGTACCACAGTGGGGAGCTGTGATCACCTTGCCTGGATCATGCAAAAGGTGAAGAGCAGAGGCCCCATCTTCCATCACTTGGCTCCCTGCTGTGGGCACCTGCTCCCTGTGTGGCATAAGGAGGTGTAAGATACTGATTTTCTTCTTCTTCTTCCTTTTTTTTTTTTTTTTTTTTTTTTTTTTTTTAAATACCAAGCAAAAACTCACAGGAGGGCTGAAGAGAGATTAGGCTCTGCCCTGGGAAGATCTGGCAGGAGGTTGCTGCTTTCTGTAACTGTCTCAGAAATACAAGTGGGGAATTCAAAGTACAAGACAGATGAACAAAGAAGGCAACAGAGTGGAACTAGTAACAGCCTCAGGGAAAACCAGAGCAGACAGGGAAGAGTGTTACAAAGTGCTCATCAAATTTACATGCAAATAGTAATGCTAACATTGTACATGATTAACCAGAATCCCCTGCAAAGTCAAACAGGAATGAATAAAACAAAGACTTTGTGCAGCTCTGAAGCATTTGGCTGTTACTGCTACATGAAACTGCTGGCAATCTGCTTTGTGAGCAGAGTTCATGGCATCTGTGATTACATGCTGCACATCGAATTTGGCAAAAATAATGTAATCAGGAAAAGCAGCTTGTTTACTAACAGTCTGAAAGTATACTGTCACTGAAGTTCACATGTAAAAGATTAACATTACTGTAAGAAATTAGATGGGCCAGAGCTTTTGGTAAAATGTTTGAAGAGAATCACTTGGAATTAAGATTTTGACTGCAGAATTTTCAAACTCCTGGTCTTGTGGCAAGGAAACACTGCTGCCTTTAGACTCATGGGTGTGGTTCAAAGGTAAGTCCTAATGTCTCCTCACTGCCATCAGAGGTTACAGAAATACAGAAATACTAAAGCAAAATCAGCAGACTGACATTTCACAACACTTTAACAATGCTGAATCAGGGGCTTTACAAATTTTACCTCTATAAACAAAAGTGAATACCGAGAAGTATTTACACCAGGAGAAACAATCAATCAGTGTTGTGCATCAGAGAAATACGGAGTATGTGAAGTATGCTCTTAGTATTGCATAATCAAGAGCTGTCTCTGCTCTTTTGACAGGGATTTTTTTCCTGTGAGTAAAGCTGCTTCTTTGCACAGATTTTTTTTTTTTCCCTTCCCAGTTGCTAACTCTTGACTAAGTTTTCCTCAGGGTGTCTGAATCATAGCTTATGAAATAGCGCTGGCTGATCCCTGCAGGGCCCTCACAAGGGACACAGAAATCTTCCATATTAGCAGCATAATGTTAAATTATACAAAAGGGCCCATCATGCAGGAAACACCTTCTGAAAGATTACTATTTTCATCTTTGTATTCACTATTGTGGGGTGTGTGGTGATGACTACCTGACAATTGCTTGAAATTTTACAGCAAAAAGGTGGAATAAATTTTATGTTTTGTTGTCTTAATTAGAATTCCTGTATTCCAATGTCTTTGCATATAATTAAAAAAAGTATTTTCTAGGGTATGTTTTCAGGCAATAGTTAAGAAGCAGTTTCTTTTATTTCCTATATATTAACTCACTGCTGAAATTCAAGACAAAATACAAAGCAGATATTGAAAGTTTATTTAGAACAAGTACTTTCCTGTAACACAGATAATTCAGAAAAAAGGAAATTTTGTTCCTTACGCATACTTATGTAGGTTGTCTATTTATGAGATGTCTTTAAGAAGAAATGGCTCAGGTTATGGTATTTGAAGAAAAGGCAATTTGCATTTTATTTGCATTGCTTTTCCACATACATGGAATTTCAGCATTTGTTTTTACAAAGGATATTAAATCTCAGTATTTTTAATATGCAACAATGGTAATTGCCTTTTCATGTTATTTTATTTTAAAATTACAAGAGGATGTATTTTTCTGGATTTTGATTATGAAACATTTTTCCTCTTGGTTCCAAGGCATGCCAGATTTGCTGGTTTTTTCATCTGATTTAATCATACATGATACAGTAAAAGTGGTGTAAATGCTACCTAAGAATACAGGTGTCAAAGCCTAGGAGACACATAATACTCAATGCAGCAGGGATTTCACCAACACCTGCAAGACCAGTTACATTTTTTTGCTTCATCTCCCTTAAGGCTTATTCCATTTCAGATTTCAGCTTCATGAAAGAAATGGATCTCTGGACTGGCTCTCACACAACCTTTCAGAGGTTAATTCTGACCTGATGTAAATTTTCTATGCACCACAGATATATCAGTACAGAGTCAGAGAGAAATGTAGCCAGAAATGTAGGTTTGGATATTTTTTTCCACATTTTCCCCTATTATGTATTCAGTCACTCTGTTATTTCAAAGTTGGCATTTTTAATTCATTATTTCTCTAGCTCTGACTCAGAGAACCTGGCTGGATTGTTCTCCAGCTATTAGTATCTTTGGTCAGGATCACAGTGCATGTACTTTAAATAGTATTGATTTCTTTTGGGTATGGAATGCTTTTCAGATACAAAAACAAGCATGGCAGAGACACTGTAATAGGAATATAGTAACGTACTTGGGTTCAGTCATGTGTTGTGAACTCTAGGTGAGAGCAAACTGGAGATTGGGCTCACTACCCATGGATGGACTGGGGAAGAACGCAGGGATTAGGGGTGTATGGATGTCAATAGATTCCAGACCTCTAGTGGATACAATGGAGAAATGCTCATGGAAATGTGAATACTGCATGGGGAGACCCATACAGTATTTTTGGGCAAAAGCTCCTGAAAAGTCTCAAAGGCTTATCTATTATTTGTGTAAAACTATCATGTTCCATCATTCACTGTAGCTTTAAGTGCAGGGGTTCCGGAAAATCAGTTAACATTGCCTGTTTTTTTTTCAACTAATTTCAAAATCCTAATTGCTGTTTTAACGAAAGAGTTAAAATGAGACATTCCTGAAACTGGAGGACAAGAGGCTGGAGAATGACCTTGCAGAAAGAGATCTGAGGATCTGGGCTGGGGTCAAGTTGAATCTGAGTCAGCAGTGCCCTGGTAGCCAGGAAGGCCAGCCGTGTCCTGGGGGGCATCAGGCAAAGCATCACCAGCCAGTTGAGGGAGGGGATTGTCCCACTCTGCTCTGCACTGGGGCAGCCTCATGTTGAATATTGTGGGCAGTTTTGTGAACTGATTTAGTCTTGGATTTCTTTTGTATAGGTGGAACTGCTACTGGCACGAGTTGTTCCTGTGGTTCAGCTGCAGTTTGAGTGGCTGCAGTGGCTGTTGTTCTGCTTTCCTCCTGCTCCCCGAGGATGCCATCTAGTGACCATCAGCGTCTGATAAACAGTAGCCAGGGCCCAGCGCATTGCATAACTTTGTGCCTCTTTCAAGTTGCCACAACATTATTCCTTCACATATTCTACCACTTTATCAGGGTCCTGTAGTTGTTCAGGGGTGAACTTCCAAACCATTGGAGCAAATTAATCCTTCAAAAGGTGGCTGTTTTATCCTGCATTCCATGTCACTCATGACTTACTGACCCTCAGGGCAGATCTCTGAATGACCTTCCTAGAAATTCCTTTCTTGACTCTAAATGTGTGGACTGCACTGAGAAGACCTGGCAGACTTAGCAACTAAACCATGCCTTCCTTAATATCCAGAGGGAATTTGCAATTCTCAAAAGCTGTTGTAAGAGGCCTGAAGGAGAAAAGGGGGGTTAAAAGCTGGGGAAAATCATCCTTCCCTGTTCCAGCCTGGGTACAGTTATTAATGGGCTCCCACAACTAGCACCCAAAGTAAGGATAGGAGAGCAGCACTGAATACACATCCCAAATAACCCTCACTGCCCTTGATGTTATCATGCCATAAACTGATATCCCACAGTACATCATCAAGGCAATCCTGATCCCTCTTCCTACTCTGAAAAATATCATCATGAGGGGCACAAATGAGAATATCTACAGGGTTAGGCACCACAGCCACACGAAAAGACTAAGCAACATTGTGACCAGTGGCTCCGCACCCACAACAACAGATGCTTAGATCCATTTTGTTTCCAACCTGTTCTGGCCAGATCTGCTGTTATCTCAACTCTTTGTGCCCCGCACTGGGTGCCAAATAAGGCTGTCCTGGTTTAGGAATGGTACTCCCAATTTAGTGCTCCTGATGAGACCCTCCAAACCATGCTGCTGCTCGCTCATTCCCCCACTCCATCTCCCCTCCCCTTGAGGCCAGAAGGAAAGGGCAATTGGAGGCACAACGCTCATTCCCCCACTCCATCTCCCCTCCCCTTGAGGCCAGAAGGAAAGGGCAATTGGAGGCACAAAAGGTAAAGATGACAGGTTGAGAAAAAGAACAATTTACTGGAAACAGCAATGAGATATGAAAACAAACAGTAACAGCAACAATATTAATAACAAAAGTATACACAGAGAGAGTGATTCACATGGAAAAATTATCACTGCAGAGTTTGACCCAACTCCACTGCAGCCACGCCACGCCTTCTTTCTGAAAGAGACTCCCTCCCCCGCACCCCTGGTAATAACAAAATATCCCAGCCATGCCCCCTCCTGCCTACTGCAAAAATTAAACCTGTCTTGGCCAGAGCCAGGACAAATATGAACTGTGGATATCAAAAACTATCACACACAGTGCACATTTTAGTATTATTAACAATAAAGACATCTATCTTTTGGGGTGATATACTTCAATACCTAACCACATTTCTTCATGTGACTATGTATCAGTGATGGGTTGGAGTAGGACACTTAGCACAGTGCCACCCACTGCACTCAGTGTAAACACTTAGATGGTCAAAACTGGATTTATTTACAAAGTTTTTAACGCATGACAATTTTTTCTTCTAAAATTATATAAAATAAATTTAAGAAAAGGATGACATTGTGTATTTGCATGAACAACAAGGAAAGAAGAAGAAGAATACTAAATAGCTTAACTAAAATCAGCAAATAGTTGAACTGAGGTAAAGTTACAAAACCACCAGCCTTTGTCACCAATTACAGGGCTAAAAAGCAGTTCAAATCTCCAAGCCAAGAACTGAACCCGAAGAAGAGCCAACCTTTATTCCTTGATATTTTGAAGTAGCCTTAATAAATGAGACTCAATAACCTGTTGAACTAGATCAGAGAAAAAAGATGAGGTTAATCAGTGTTCCTTTTTCATATTTTTATGGTTGTATTGTTTTTTCTGCCAGATGCTTGCTTGTCCTGTACAATGATTTATTAAAAGCCAGACGGGAATAAATTCACTTTGTGAAGAGAATTTGCATCCCTTCAGAAAATAAAAGCCTTATATAATGCAACAACAATACATCCAGTAAGGCAGATGATGAGTTTTGGGGGTCCTCATCTGTTCTGTGGTTTGAATAGGTTGATAGCATATGGAAAGCAAATTTTTAGCCTACAAAGTAGGGGAAAAATTATTAGGAATTTCTTCTATAGAACATTCTGAGATTGAGCTTTTGAAGCAGTCCTACATCTAGACGTGTGAAGTTACTGGCTCATTCATAAGCAGAGGGCTCTGCTTGGAGAAGCAGCACATGCAGTGCTGGGTGTATTTTTGGGTTCAGTTCATTTTTGTAATGGCAGACATTTCACAGCTTTCAAAATGAAGGCAGCATGAGTTAAAAAAACAATGAGAGTCCCTTCTTTGCTTCTGTTTTCCATAACTAAGTGAGGTAGTATATTCACTACTGATCCTATTACTGTGTGCCTCCAAGACAAACTAGAGATAGAGCTGGTCTGACAGGGGAAGAAGGTTTTGCAAACTACATTGCTACATGCCAGTCAACCACAGTGAGGGGTTCAGGAAGGCTGCAAGCCTCTTACCATTGTCCAGTGCAACACACTGCTTTGTACAGGGATGGAGGAGCAGCTTGGCTCCCTGTGTCTAAATCATGGCTGCATCAGCCCTAAACACCAATATTTGTTCCCACTGATGCAGATCCAGGTCAGTGACATTTTCTTACTAGGTACCTGGCTTTCTGAAAAGGGATGGAAAGCCCCTACCCATTTTGGCCTGATTGGTTTAGGTGTATTAAGACTTGTAGGACAGGTAACATGTTGAGAACTGCAAAACCCCTATCAGGCCATTAAAGCAGCTACATATACAAGGAGCTGTAAAAATTAAAATTTTTTTAGAAGAGTTTACATTGGCAATACTCACCACTCCGATAGCCTAAGGCTACAGCCAAATCCATGGAATTATAGCCAGCATCTGTTTCGATAGTTGGATCAGCACCACTTTCTACGTAAAACAGGAACAGAATCTTGTATTTCTGACAATGAGAACTGATAGTACATTATTACCGGTAATTCTGTTTGGACAGTCTGCTTACCAAGGAGAATTTTTACACATTTCACATGGTTCCCATGTACTGCATATAGTAAGGGTGTGCCTCCATTCTGCAAAAGCAGAGAAATGCCTTAAGACACTTAGTAATTAAGCAGTCGGCAATTCTAATTCCCTAAAACACCAATATGCTTCTATGTATCAGTAAGAGACTTCATACTATAATTTTATGAAAATTAGGTTGGTTTGGATCTTCACAACTTCCACCTTTTTTTGTCTATTTTTTAAACTTTAAGCTCACACTTCTACAAGGAGCCAGCATTAATCTCGTTCTCCTTCTCCCAAGAAATCAGAACTAGTAGAACCAACTTCTCTTATCCTGTGGAAGTTCTGAAACTCTCATATATTTCAGAAGAGGTAGAACAATTTTAAAATCCAAGCCAGTGCTATGTCCTGCTTCAGTTTTCTGACCAAAGCACCCTCTGACATAAATGTAAGCTAGAGTCTTACCCAGTCATACTCATTGACATCAACTCCACAGTCGAGCAGCATTTTGACAATATCTGTGTACCCTTTACTGCATGCCAGTGAGAGGGCACTTTCTCGCCCCTTTCCCAGAATCTGAGGATCTGCACCCTGAAATAATAGTATCAATTTAAAAACAAGAAACAAATTTTAGGTTTTACATAGAACTTAAATTTAAATCATTTAACTCTACAGCAACATTGACAAACTCAGGAAGGCAAAATGAGTAAATGAATTTAAAATTAAGTGTGTTTTTTTTCTTACATTCTGGAGGAGAAATTCCACTACTGCTATCTGCCCATGAGCTGCAGCCCACATCAGAGGGGTAAATCCTTCTTCATCCTTATGATTGATTAAATTTTCTGTTTAAAGAAAAATATATAACTTAGTAATCCCTTTCACTGATGCACTGTAAGAGCTGGTGAAATGTGTTGATGTGAATGTTGATGTGAATACATGGTGAATACCATGTATTCACGAGGTACCAGTGTGGCCTAAAAGTCATTCTCATCTTAACTTAAAAAACAAAATTCTCTCCCAGTGGTGGTAGAAGTAAGTACCTTTGTCCAAGAAAGAAAAACACATCCAGCTGACCAAAGTAAAATTTAAACTTTCCATTTAAAATTTAAGTTTTTAAACTTTATAAAGTATATTATACTGTAGGCAGTGTTTTTTTTCATTCAGTGAGCTACACAATCTTGTAAAGAATATGCCTATACAGCAATATAAATAGAACAACTCCATTCCCCCCAAAGTTCATGTAATCAATAAGGTGGTCTATGAAAACAATTAAGGTTTACATCTAGTGCAGCTGGAAAAAAAAAAAGTTTTTTTTAACAATTGGCTGGCTGAAATAGTTCAGCTGGATTTTTTAAAAAAATACCTATACTTTAAAAATCCCATGCATATCATAGTAACAAAATAAACAATTTTAGTCATTACCAACACTCCAGAACTGACCCGCTTTTCATATACATGGCTCATTACAAAGTAGATAGACTTAGTGACTCAATACCTGCTTTCCAGTAAACATTTCAACAAGGATGCACTGAAAGCATGGCTGATTACTATTAGTACAATGAGAATACACTATTAACTAAAAAGTACAAAATTCAATATGTTATGTAAAGTTGAAATTTTTTTGTATATGTATTGCGGACAACAAATGCCACACTGAAGACTACCACACAACTCAGAATGTGTAGTACTATGACAGTGCAGGTGTGAGCCACGGCTTAAATTAGCAGCACGCAGGTCCTTATGCTGATTGATTGAATAGAATTGGAAAGCCATCATTGGAAGAAATGTGTTTTAAATTACAAAGAATATCTAAAAATAAAATTACTACTCCTATTAATGCTAATGTTTTAATTTAAATGCAAATCATAGCACTAAGCAAATAATAGACTGATGTGGAACAACAGTCCACATCTGCAAAGCACAGATATATCAAATATCCTTCAATTTGTACCAGAACTGAGGACTTATTTTTTAATACAGCTTCAAGGAAAGGTCAAATACAACAGCACGTAAACGGCCCAAAGGAGAAAGAAAGGCATTTAACCTCTTTCTGTCTTACCTTGTTCAATACGTGTGGCCAGATATAACATTTCTCCCTGAGCAGCCAGCTGATGTACTGATAAAGCTGCAGAAAAGGAAGCAAAAGCACGTGTTACACACACCAGTTTTCATTCTACTCTAACTGGAGCTGAGTATAATGTATCCATTGGCTCGAGCAGTACAGAATGTGGATTTGAGAGGGTATACAGGTTTCACCTTATACTCTGAACTGAAATCGCTCTCTTAAAAACTAAAGTTTTCAAAGACTTCCATAGGTTTATGTAATTTTTTAACCATTGTAGAAGTCATACTTGAAAGTAAAGATACATACTTCCCATGCTGACTTTTTACAAAGCAACATGATCTCTTCTCTACTGCTTGGTCAGCAAACCAAGATCACATTAAGACCATTTATCAAATGAAATTAAACATATTTTGATAAATTAGGGATGTGTAATTTAAAAATTACACCTAAGACACCGCATATCATCAGGAGAGCTCTCCTGCTATTCAACAGAGAAAACCTCTAGTGTAACTCTCACTCACTACAATGTGGAACAGATCAGACATTACAAAACTATATACAACCTGAAGTACAGAGGGGAAGGAAAAAATTGTGGGGTTTTTTTTTTATTACTTAATATAAGGTACCATGTCTTAAATAATTCTTAAGAGATTGTGACGAAAAAATCTCCAATCCCACACTAAACTGCATGGGTTCATGGTTTTCCTAAATGCAACTTGGAGCAGGCCTGAATAATGCTTAGGAGGGAATATGTAATAAATTATCCACACTATATAATAATAAAATCAGCTAATGTTTACATCAGCTGTAAATATTGACTGTCCTCAGTCACTACAGGAAAGTTTCAGAAAAACATCACATTTATTCAGAGGCCTACACTTCAGCTCCAGATTAATTCTTCCTGTGCAAGTGGCTTTTTGAAAAGAAAACCCACTATAATTTATAGAGGAAATACTTTACAGATAAAGTAAATCAATGCAAATTAATTTATGAAGAAAATGCTTGAAAAATCAGAAAACCCCCCACCATAAATAGCACTACTTTCTTGATTTTCAAGATCCGTGACAATCATGATATTTGCAGTTTTCTGTAGCACTTACCAATCATCTAATTTTAATAAATTTTACAAGATGCACAAATTCCAAAAGCGTCTATGGCGCGCATTAACTTACAGCTTAGAAAAAAATTAGAAAAATCTTTACCTGTATTATTTAAATCAGTAATTAGATTCTTTCTGGAAAATAAACTTCAGTCATTAATTCAATACAAAGGTGGATGACTGTTTTGTGGTTGGAACCATATGATACTAGACAAGACTAATTTCAGTGTTTTCTTCCTATGTCAAAGTTCATTGCAACACCAAAGAAAAAATGGGAAAAATCTGTCAAGCATTCAACATGCAGTTCACAAAATAATTATTAACAGTAAGGCAGAATGATACTTACAGTTCACAAGCAGAGGTGTTGTAGAGACTTCGTTTCCCCTGTGTTTGTTAGTTAGAGTGGTTGATTGTTTTATTGGTGAGAAATGCTTAGTAGTTGATGGAGTATAAACATGTCTTACTTGGATACCAGGGGAAGGAGAAGTGTGGCTGTTGCATTCAGCTACATTGAACAAAAAAACCAGACAGGATTTCAGTACTAGTAAGAGCATTAAAAGCAAGCCATAGATTCTAAGTTAAACTAGAAAGCAGCAGTATCACAAGACCTTTAAAATCCATGTTAAGAATGCTTTTGACATGTGCTTTTCCCACTGTGTATTGTGAAAGTTGAATAAAGGGCTGCATTCATTTCTAGCATAAAACAATGCTGCTACCACACACATTCAGTATGGCATAATGTCACCCAAAAACTCTAAATGAGGTAAGCCTATGTCTAGATTTTTCAACGTGCCTGGCATGGATTTATCTGTAGGAGGGTTCCACTCAACCTGTCATATCCTTACACACACTCCAATGAAATGACATGATGCACCTCTGGTCAGACACACAATCAGGTAACTGCTCAGATCATGCCTCTGCCTGCTCCCAACCAGGCCACTACATGGGTGGAGATGACCTTCACTAACTTTCTTCACCAGGGCTTTTCCCAGTCCTGGGTAATATTTTAACAGCATTATGAATGCCTTATGAATACTTATCCACCAGGAAAAAAGATGTTCCACACTAACTTACATAAAATGCAACAGCAGGTCACCCCTAAGAATTCATGAAGTCATTCAGTGGTAATGTGTTCCCTCATACTAACTTTCCTTGTTTTCTCTTAGAAGCTAATGGTATTTTACTACAGAATATATTTATATATTGCCTTGGCTTCTAATTTCAAAGTTGCTTATGGTTTAGAGAAGTAGCTGAGAAGCCAAGTAATTTTAAAGAAGCTAACTAATTAAATACTGGAAAGATATTGAAGGATTAAACTCCCTATTGATTTTAAACCAGTGTGCAGCAGTAATTAATGCCTGGAAGCTAATTAACACACACGCTGAATTAACACCATAGAGAACTTTGTGATCATAAACCCAAGTGCAAATTCTGGGAAAGAACTAATTAAAAGAAGTAGAGCTTTACAGGATAAAAATTAAATTACATTTTGTTTGCCAATCAAATAGCTACAGCTGACTTCACAGATTTTGACTCATGGTCCCTGGATCTGCAGGACTACTTCTAAGACGGCAATGTCTATTGCTGACGGATCTAAGTTTGCTGCTCAGACCTGTGGCTCTGCTGGTGAGCACTTAGGGCCTCCCAACTCATAAAAGTCTGAAAACTACAATGGCTGAACTGCAGCCCAGCAATACCAATCAGTGAAACCATCAAAATTCACAATAGGCCTGTATTTTGTTTCAGGAAATGGGTGATGTTCAACCTCATGAAAAAACACACCATTAACAGTCTGAGATATGACATCAGTTGAGGGGAAATAAATGGAAGATCTAATTTTGTTCTGTATCAGTATCCCCAGCCATGAAAAACATGGATCAGTCATGATGAAGCTGCCCAGCAATGGCTGGATTAGCTGCAGGCATTCAGATTTGGAGCAGGTTTTGCTTTCAAGTAGCGTGAAGCTGAGCTGACAAGCCCTTTTCTGCAACCACAGGCTTTGTACAGCCACAGTGATAAAACAGGCAACCACAAGGCCTGCATTATTTTTTCCTCATACTAGTGAAAAGATAAAACATGCTGCTGAAAGCTACTGAAATTAAAATCATTGCACAGTGCATTCAGTAGTGTTTTGTGAAGATCCATACTGTTGTAGGACATGCTACACAAATGTTTCCATGATCAGCATCAGCTCTTGTTAACTTGGACTTTTTGTGCCACTGCTTTTTTCAATGTAAAAGAAAAACTGAAAGGTGATTTAAAAAATAATCTTGATGAAAATTAATTTTACATTAATAATCCATTAATGATATAATAAAAAGGGGAATAAGTCTTAGAAAACTGATTAATACACACATAAGGTAGTGGCTTTTTTTTTTTTTTAAGAAAACATAATAGCTTAACAGGATGACATGGTCCACAGATAACAGTTTGTACCATAAATTCAACCTTTAAATAAGACAGATGCGACTTCAAGGTCAGAGTTGACTTGGTCTTGAATATTTTTACTGTCCTCCTCATTCAGAGACTTCACAAATCGTGAGCAGACATTCATATCAAATCTATTGGGCAAAATGAATTTCATGCCCATGGTGACACTCTGAGCTGGGCCTTCCTCTGTGCTGGAGTCCAGCTGATGCTCCACTTTAATGTCTGGCATGGGTGGCAGATTGTAGCTCGTGGTACATTCTTCCACAATTAACTGGGCCCCAACATCTAAGTTTGTTGATGATGCCATGGCTTCAATCATATAAAAGTTTCATGCAAAGTGTTTCTTCATAATTTCCAGCTAAGTCCAATTCTATCCAGCCAGGTCCAGCGTTTTGAACAAGCTGCAACTGAACAAAAATAACACAGGTTAAGAACGTTCTGGTGAAACAGTGAATAAAAATACACCAAATTTGGCTTCGTTTAAGCTTGTGGCATTTAGTTTTGACAGTTAAAAACATTGGTGAAATATCAATCTTGTTGCTTTCACAAGCTAGTGACTGAATTCTCCACTGACATTTTATCATGCGGATGTTTAAACCAAATTCCATAATGAAGCCAGCAGAAGTTTCATCTAAGTGATGCTTTAGAATATTCTACTGGTTTCAACAACAAGCCCCACACCACAACCAACCAGGTTTATACCAAGCCACGAACAAGCTCGAAAAAGATGATTTTATTTCCTAAAAACGTCAGACTTGAAAGAAAAGCTAAAGTAACTTAAAGCCCCTCCCCTTTGCGTCTTTTTGCAAACTGCGTAAAATAAACGGCTTCTACCACACATGTAGGAAAAAAACCCCAAGTCCCTTTCACACCGATGGCGGCAGACACCCCGAGACAGCAGAGGCTTGGCCACAGGGCCGCGGGAGCCTCCGCTCGGCCCCGGGCACGCCTGGAGCCGTCCCTGCTGCCTGGGAGGCGCGAAACACTCACCACAGCCCCACAGACGGCGGTGCCCCCGGCCCTGCTCCCCCAGCCCTGCTCCCCCTGTCCTGCTCCCCCCGCCCTGCCTCCCCTGCCCTGCTCCCCTGCCCCGCTCCCCAGCCCTGCTCCCCAGCCCTGCCTCCCTGTCCCGCCTCCCCTGGCCCCGCTCCCCCTGCCCTCCTCCTGCCCCGCTCCCCCGGCCCCGCTCCCGGCCCTGCTCCCCCTGTCCCTGCTCCCCCGGCCCTGTTCCCCTGTCCTGCACCCCCCAGCCCTGTAGCCCTGTTCCCCAGCCCCTGCCTCCAGCCCTGCCTCCCCAGCCCTGCTCCCCAGCCCTGTTCCCCAGCCCCCGTTCCCCTGTCCCGCTCCCCCGCCCTGCCCCTGTCCCCGCTCCCCTGTCCCCGCTCCCCGGCCCTGCCCCCGTCCCGCTCCCCGGCCCCGTTCCCCCGTCCCGCTCCCCGGCCCCGCTGCCCTGCCCCGCCTCCCCAGCCCCGTTCCCCAGCCCCGCTCCCTGTCCCGCTCCCCCGTCCCGCTCCCCGCCCCGCCTCCCCGTCCCGTCCGGCCTCACCGGGCCGCGCTCCCTCAGCGCCGCGGGTGGGAGGTGACGCGCGATGACGCGTGACGCGATGACGCGCTGCCGGCGCGCCCGCGCTGCCTCTCCTCGCGGTGGGCGCGGGGCCGCCATATCCCGCGGCGTGTCCCGCTCCCGTCGCGCCCCCCGAGCCTCTCCCGGGCAGCCCCGCCGGACCCGACCCGTGGGCAGCGCCACTCGCCGGCGGCTGCCGCGGCCTGAGGAGGCGCGGCGGGAGGCTGCGCCGAGCCCGGAGACCCCCGCGCCCGCAGCGCCATGGCCGCGTACAAGCCGGTGGTGGTGCAGGCGTGCCCCAAGCTCGGCGAGAAGATCACGCAGGACACGCTGTACTGGCGAGGGTACAAGGTAGGAGGCGACCCAACAGCGGCAGTTACTAGCCTGGAAATTTTTCTTACCGGTTTCATGCAACTAATCGAAGTATTTTTAAAATATGCGTAATTTAGGTGTGTCTCCACACCCTCCCCTCCCCCTCCCCCGTCATGAAAACACGTAGTGAATGGGTCAGTTGTAATGTCAGTTTGGAAAAAAAACCTGTGACAGCCGGAGTCGAGCCTGGCAGAAGTGAAATTCGGTATCGTTGTAATTAAGAAACGATTTGGTTCTAAAGGCGTTTTGAACTCTCCGTAGGAAGAGTAGTTTTTATTTTTCTGTTTTCACAGATGGTGTGGTAATGTTTTTTTAATGATCTTTGCTGCTGTTGTTTTAGACACCAGTTCAGATAAAGGAGTTCGGTGCAGTAAATAAAATTGACTTCTCCCCAGTCCCGCCGTACAACTATGCTGTCACAGCCTCCTCGAGGGTAAGTGGCTTCTCTGGGGTTTCTATGATCTTATCCTTGTGTTCATATGATACAAGAAAATCTAACGCCTTGTTGTTTCTCCAGATCCACATTTACGGCCGTTACTCCCAGGAGCCCATAAAAACTTTCTCCCGCTTCCGAGACGCCGCGTACGGTGCCACGTACAGGGATGACGGGCAGCTGCTGGTGGCAGGCAGCGAGGACAGCAGCATCCGCCTCTTTGACATCAGCGGGAGAGCACCACTGAGGCAGTTCGATGGGCACACCAAGTAAGATAGTCCTGGCTTTTCCCTCCATAACTTTCCCGGGCAACCCATGCCGCTGCCTCACCTGTATATAGTATTTATATACCTGCTTCGTGTGTTGGTGAAAATATGAGTAATACTGTTCCATGTTGCTTGCAACTGTCTCTTGCAGATCTTAACTGAGAAGTAGATTTTACAATTAAATTCAAACTTGGAGGGCGTTTTTTTTTTTTTTAAGTTTAAGTATGCATCGGGTATAGAGAAGAGTAAATACGTTTCCCGTATCCGGTAGGTGTCTGTTAATATGTTGTGTAGATACAGTCTTATGACTACCTGGCACTGATACGTACATTTTATTTGATGCTGGCAGGAAAAGAGTTCTAAAAAGTGTCTAAACAAAAACCATGAAGAAATATGCCAGGAAGAGAAGGATCCCTTAAAAAAAAAAAACCAAACCAAAACATGAAAAGTTTATCGTGATAGGGTGAGGTGGGGAAGGATTTAGTTCTGTGTATCAGTGAGAAGAAGACAATGCCTCAACATTGTCTGTTCAAGATTGCTGTGCTATGAAAGACCAATGTGTATTTCATCTATGTAGAACAACAACCCCCCTTTCAGTGGGAAGCACCCAGGCTGATGTTGTGAGTGTTTCGGTTTGAGATCTGTGTTTGTAGATCAGGTGTTATGTTCCCCTGACAAGGTTAACTCTAGTAAAAACTTTATATCTGTGTTTTCCATAAAAGTCATTCTCTGTTGGGATGTTATGGTGATAATAAAGATTTAAATAGCAATTTTAAAGGATGAAAACATTGTCCAAACCAGTCGTACTTAAAATTTACTATAATAAATTTTTCTTAAAATTCACTATTGTAAATATTTTCTAAAGGACAGTGCTAGCACACAGATCTCTAAATAACAAGTGCAGAATTTAGAGCTTTCGAATGACATCTAGTAAGTCTGTAAACCATTTAAGGCATACCATATTAGTGCTTAGGTAAGAATCTGTCAGCATGACCCTTTTCTGCCTGGAAATACAAAACCTAAAATACTTAAACCTCTAAAGTGAGACTTTGTAACTTCTGATGTAAAGAACCACTTTGCACTTTTAAGTTAAATTACTTTATTAAACTCTTCATACAGACTAACTCTTATTGAAATATGTTGTATTTTAACTTTGACTATTGTGGATTTTGTTTTCTAGACCGGTTCATCTAGTGGGTTTCCTGTCCGATAAATACAGAATATTTTCTGGTGGTGATGATTATTCAACAAATTTGTGGGATATTCCAAGTGCCACAGAAATCATCTCATATAATGAACATACTGACTATGTGAGATGCGGCTGTGCAAGTAAAGTGAATGCGGATGTCTTTATAACAGGTTTGATTTTACTCATTATTTGCGCTTCCTGTGGATTGAATTGAAGAAAAATGCAGAAAGGAAGTTTTTCATACAGTAGGATCTTGTTTATTATATTTTAATAGTGGAAGATTAGTTTTCCTACACAATAGCTGCTTTGTTGTTTCCTTTTTTTGCATACTTTTTAAGCTTGATGCTGACGTTTTGGGAAAACTCAGCATGAACTGAGTTTTAACATCTTTTGTTTTAGCCTATTAGAGTTAACAGAACTGTTGTAACTAGCTTTTGAAAGCTAAGAAAATGCTGTGAATGAATCCTTTGACTGGGGTTGACGGAGGTGTTTTATCGGGTTTCCAGAGCAGAACAGTAGTTCTGGCTCCAAAATGAAAGGTCAGGTGAGGAGCTGTTTGCAACCAGTTCCTTTTGGTTTTCCTGGCAGTAGCTTTCTGCTAACCTGTGATAAACTGCTGTGAAAAAAACCTAATATTCCTTACATCCGGAGGCACAAGAGTCTAGATTTCATCAGGTTGTCTAATATTTATTGTTGTAAATACAGCTCATTAATGGAAGTGAAATAAAATTAAAGCAAATTAGCCCTAGCTTCATCTTACTCCATAAAAATAGAATTAGAAAAGTTATGTTGCCTGAAGGCTGTAAAATAACTAAGGTAAACCATGAGGAGTTTTTAAGGGTACGGTTTAAAACATTACTCTTAGCCAAGAGCTCCTTTAGGTTGTAGAACATGGCTGTTTTAGTTCCTGAAATAATTGAAATTTTGAAACTGAAACCATTTATGGTTTGTAGGTTCCTATGATCACACTGTGAAACTTTTTGATGCACGAACAAAAAGTAGTGTCATGACAATAGAACATGGCCATCCTGTGGAGAGCGTGCTTCTCTTCCCTTCTGGTGGACTTCTAGTATCTGCAGGTAATTCAATAAACTGAAATAAATCAAATATCTTTTCTGTGGTCGTAATTTGAGAAATACTTCAGCTGCTTATGTGTGGTGCTTCAATTTGGTAATGAAGTGGTGATGTAACAGCTAGGTTTCTCAAATATCTTCTTTAGGAAGCTGCGTTTATCTGGAGGGTGTGAGTAGGTGTCTTTTCTTTTTGTCTCTGTTTTGATATTCTTGTAGTAGGACCACCCAGAAAAAAAACATTTTTAATGGCAAACTGCAGACTTTAATTAGCCCAGTGTTAAAGGAATCAACGTATTTAAGAAGTTTTGAAAAGATGGGACTGTGTCTTTCTCTTAGTGTTGGCAAGGTTTTTAAGTCTCTTCTTGCCATTGCATCACAAGTCCTGTGACCCAGCGGTTTACAGATTTTTGGTCTTTTTGGTAAGGAGTATGTTGAATCATTCATCTCCATTCAGAATGGCCTAAAAAGGAGCACGTTTGTAGTGTGTCTTGTCCCAGGAGATAGTCATAATGGAAGGGGATGGTGAGTAGTACAGAAAACTGTGCTATGTATTATTCTGTGAAAATGTCTTCAGAGAAACATAAATGTGTACATATGTAAGACTCTTTTGTGTGCTTCCTTTTCACAGGAGGTCGATATGTCAAAGTTTGGGATGTACTAAAAGGTGGACAGTTACTGGTTTCACTTAAAAATCACCACAAAACTGTAACTTGTTTATGCTTGAACAGCTCTGGACAAAGGTTATTGTCAGGATCCCTGGACAGGTTAGTGCATTTTGTGGCTTTGTTGAGATTTAAATTCTTTAGAACTTTCTGTCCTTTGAAAATAAAGAATTTGTGAAGCTGTGCATGTTTTTTGGGTTTTACTTGAGAACAGATTTTGGAGCCAAGGTATGTAACTGATGTCCATGCTTATTGCAGGAGAGTTGGTCTAGATGACCTTTAAGAGGTTCCTTCCAGCTTGAACAGTACTATGATTCTATGATATACCTTAACCTTTTCTCTTACTAACCTGAATGTCAGTAAGGATTGCATGTGCCATATGGGAATGCACATGGGCAACTTCTGAATAAGCATTTTTGTTTTTTTTTTTTAATTTTCTTAACTGACCTTTGCAGTCTCTGTAAAGTAACTATTTTTTAATACAGTTTAAATAGCTGCAAGTGTGTTAGTGTTCACTTTTAAAAAAACTGAGTTTTCTGTCTCCTGCTGTTGTTTTTTGTACTCGAGATGACAGGTGAAAGATGACCTCCTGGCTTTTTTGTTTGTTTGGTTTAAGTTGGTGAATACTGCTACTTGGTCTGTTGTCTCCAAGACATTAGAAATATGAAGTGGTCTGAAATGACAGTGGTCTGTTTCCCTCCTCCCTCCTGTACTTGCTAGGTTACCTCAGGCTTTATGATTACATAACACTACAATTCATCCTTGTTGTAAGATAATGTTTTATTTTCCCATCTTTTTAATATCTGATACTTTCAGTGAAATCATTAAGGATGAGCCAGGTACAATATCTATGGATTTACTTCCAGAAATTGTTAATAGATCTTACATTTGAAATTTAAGAACAAATTTGAGATGATGCTGTTTCCCAATAAGCATTTCTGAAGGCAAATAGTCACTACATGTGCCTTCAGTTTCTTCTCCTGTCCCTGTCCCATTTTCATCTTTTCTGGGGTAAGAGCAATCCTGTCTTGACTTGTGGATATTTTTTAACAGTAATAATTAAGAAGCTCAGTGGAAGTCTGAGGAATGTCAATACTCAGTTTCCTTAAGTGATCTATAGAAGTTGAGAGGGATGAAATTCCTGCAAAGTTACTATGATAAGGCACTATTAACAATAGTTTTATCATTACTGTTCTGTATAGGCATGTGAAGATTTACAGTACTACATCCTACAAAGTAGTCCACAGCTTTAATTATGCAACATCCATCCTCAGTCTTGCGTTGTCGGTAAGTACAGTAGGCATCTTACTAGATAAGGTAATTACTGATACCTTTTAAGTCACTGAAGTAATTAATTTTGCTTTCATGGCTATTAGAGGTTTTTCAGAAGAGTGCTGTTGGATGCAAAGTGGGATGACTGATTATATTCCTGCTGACTAATAAATACATGAGAAATTAGCAGAGTGTGATTTCTGTGTAAGTCAAAGAATTTCTCTTTGAATCTGGGCAAACTTGAAACTTTGCCTAGATTCCTTGACAAAGAGTTCCACATCTCTGATACTTGTTGTGTGAAGAATTGCTTCTTATTGTTCCACTTGAATCACAGAATCATGGAATTAGCCAGGTTGGAAAGGACCTCTGAAATCATCAAGTCCAACCCTTATTAGTTTCATTGGCTTCAGCTGATGCCCTCAAATGAGACATTGACCAGCTGATCTCCATCATACCTGTCATAAGTCTGTAGGCTATATTATATTATACTATATTATATTGTATTGTATTGTATTGTATTATATTATTTATTATGGCACAGTATGGTTTGGCTTGGAAGGCCAAAATCATCTTGTTCCATCCCTGCTGCCATGGGCAGGAACACACTGGAGTAGACTAGGTTGCTCAAAGTCCCATCCATCTTGGCCTTGAACACTTCAAGGGATAAGAGCATCCACAGCTTCTTTGAGTGAAACTTATACTTACTTTATTATGTAAGTGACCAGTGTTTTGAACAACTTTCATTTGTTTCTCAAAATCCTGCTGTTCCATGACCGCTTTGCTTTCTCCTAGGTGGTGATCATGCCTGTTGTATGGCATGTAATAGCCAAAGGCAGTTGTCTGCCATTGAAAAAAAACAAAACTCATGCTTACAAAAGGATGTTAATGCATAGTTGAGCTTGATTCATTAGTCAGTCTGTAATATTATTTATGAACATAACCTTGAAGTTGTCCCTGTTTTGAACAAAGTATTTGATCATGGGACCTCAAAGAGGTATCTATGATACTGTTATTTGAGCCTTATCACAAAGCGTAAAAATTTAAAAATCGCCACGATAGAGCACCAAATAAAGCACTTGGGTCCTAACTCTGTGATTTCTTTGTTCTAGCCTGAAGATGAAACTATAGTTGTAGGCATGACCAATGGGGTGCTAAATGTTAAACACAGGAAACCTGAAGAAAGGAATGAAAAGTCTCAAAAGAAGAGACAACCAGCATATAGAACCTACGTGAAAGGAAGAACTTACATGCCAAAACAGGTATGAGGTGGTAAGAAAATATATTCTGAAGCCCTTGTCAAATTTTTTTGGAATGTGCTGGGTTGGAGAAAGGGAAAAGAGGAAGTACATAAAGACATACAAGCTTGTTCGTGGTAATACATCTAATCTATTATGTGTGTGTATTTGTCTAATTCTGAACTCATCTTTGAATCCTAGGAAGATTTCTGTGTCAGTAAACCTGTAAAACGTGTTTTGAGGAAATACGACAAGCTACTGAAGAGCTTTGAGTCTTCCAAGGCTCTTGATGCAGTCCTGGAGGTAAGACACTGGTTTTTCTCATCAGAGTTGTATGCTGTCACCTGATGTGAATTCTTCCTGTATGTCAAACTAATTTTATCTTAGTGTATTACTAGGAAGGAATCAAACTTGGGTTTCATTTTGGTTTTGCTGATATCAGCCCTGTGTTGTGCATAAAGACACTGCTTTGGTGCTAAACTCTTTTATGTGTGTCCAGCCACCCATCATGCTTCATACTCCTGAAGTTACAGTTGCAGTCATGCAGGAACTACATCGCAGAGGAACACTGAGGAGTGCACTTGCAGGCCGAGATGAGAAACAAGTTAATCTTCTCCTTACCTTTGTGGCAAGGTATTATTTTAACCTGAGTTCCCTCTAACTATTTTGACTCTTATTTTCTAATAACTTGTCACAGAGTTTCAACGGATCATGGGTAGAACGTTGTTGCTCTTGAAATCTCACAAGCCTTTTGCATTCTGATAGCAAAATCTAGGATAGGTCTGTAACAGTTTACCTGTTAGCACAGAACACTTTTGCTGATAGTATGAGATATTCTACTTCTTTGACAGACATTCAACCCTTGATCTATTATGTCTTCATGTACCTGAGGCTTTTTGCCAGTCCTCCAACCCCTGCTGTCTTCCCAAAAGGAGGAGGTGAACACCACATACAGGGTTTTTTTTTTGACTTGCATTTCTGACTGCTGTTCTGTGCTATGTCTTCATGAATAAAAAGTCTGTATGCTTGTGTGAGAAAGCTGCTTGTTGGTGGTAGGAATGCAGTGGATAAAAGAATAAAACTAGAATGTCTTCCAATTTTGCAGGCGTGTGATTGAGCCACGATTTACTCCTATGCTGGTGACTGTTGCAGATATGATCACTGGTAAGGACAACACAAAAAAGATTTTCAAAGTTAGTTAGCTTGGAAATAAGGTTGAAAGTGCTATATTTTTAAGAAAACAAACCTTTATGGTTTCGTTTATAAGTAAGAACTCAGTGTCAAGAGTATGATCCAAAAAGAGACATTGCCAGATAACTCTGACCACAGTCAGTATCTGATTTGCAGTGGCTGCAGGAAGCTCCTTGCGGTCCCTAAGTATCTTTGATACTTCATGTTTCTATGCTTACATAGTACAAGTAACTTCTTCTGTGAGGTAAAAATAGTATTAGAGATCATAAAAACATGTTTTTATTAGTTTGACATACTGTTACATTGAGTACATATGACCGCTGTATTCGGAACACTGTTAAAGTTGTTTTGTTTGTCCACAGGGTTGGACTTGTGCCAGATTCCTTGAAAGCATCTCTAACTAGCTAATACAATTTTCACCTTTTTATACATATGTGGATTCTTAAGTGATGTTTTTCTTTACAGATATTTATCAACCTGTGGTTGGGCAGTCAGCAATTGTTGATAAACAGTTCTTGAAACTTCAGGAAGCTATAGGAAAAGAGATTGACTATCAAGAGGAACTACTAGAAGTCTTGGGAATGATGGATACACTGTTTGCTACTTTTACTGAGAAAAGAGATACATACCTAGAAGAGAATGAAAGTAATGGTCTTACAGAGACCATTGAAACAAATAGGAATGACTGACAGCCATCACAGCAAATTGTCACAAAAATATTGTGGAGTTGGAATATATGATCTGTTCTCCTTGTAACTTCTTATAATAGTGACTGTCAAAATAAGCCTTTCTGTGTTGAAGATCTGTCTTCCAAACTGTGTTGCTGAATAGGCTTGATTACTAAAGACAGAGAAAGAAGGAAGTTTTCAAGACTTTTCTTGCAATATTTTTTGAACGACTGAATTTTTAAAAGTTTTATTCTGAAGTTATGTAACTTTTTTAAGGTATGTGTTGGTCATCCAGTACTGTCATTATTTGATTTTATTTACCAGAAAATAATTGAGGTTTGTCTAATTTTGATGTGTCATTGTCCTTATTTGAGGTTAGTATCCTGTCTCACATCCTTGGAAATAGTAACAAAATGGCATATGCATTTGATAACACTTGACTACACTGAGTTTTCTCTCCCTGCTTCATCTCCATTTCAGACTTCCATGAATTCATAGGAAACCACAAAATGACTCAAGAAAAGAAATACTTGCTTATGTATATTGAAAAATATGAATTATATAGAAAGCAGATAATACTTCTAAAGGGAAATTAATTCAAATTAAATTATTATAATAAGGGAAATGGACAGCAGTGAGAAAATAATCAGTTAAATGTCAGAACTCAATTTTTGTATAATTCTGTCACTTCCTGTCTACACTATTACCAGTATGTGTTTGAATGCTAGGGTAATGGATTATTGTAACTTCAGGCAGTGCTGTATCACTGTATACACATTGGAAACAGAGGTGTGCAAAGGCCATTGAGTACATTTAGGATGACACTAGGCTCTTCCTAGAGCCTCCTAACCAGTATTGCCTGGAGTTGAAGGCACACATTTCTCTTGGCAGTGTAGTGTCCCATGGCTTGAAAACCACAAACCTTGACATCAAATGTGTTCTCAGTTCTTACTGGCAATATTCATGTCTAAGCTATGTATCCATTGTAGTGTGTCAAAGTTCAGTGCGTGGCTAGCAGAAGCATAGGAAGAAGTTGGATTAAAATAGCGATTAATTTGATCTTAATTGGAGAGAGAGAGAGATTTGATGGATTGACTGTTCAGTGGATGAGAAGTTGGTTAGATGGTTGCATCCAGAGAGTAGTGGTCAATGGGTCAGTGTCCAGATGGAGATGAATGATAGATAAGTGGTGTCATTCAGGCGTCTCTACTAGGACCAGTATTGGGTGTGCCTTCATCAGTTACATTGACAGTGGGATTGAGTGCACCCTCAGTGGGTTTGCAGATGACACAAAGCTGAGTGGTGCAGTTGACAGATGTGAAGCACAGGATTCCATGCACAGGGACCTGGACAGACTTGAGAAGTGGACCCATGTGAACCTCATGAAGTTCAGCAAGGCCAAGTGCAAGGTCTTACATCTGGGTCAGGGCAATCCCAAGCACAAGCTGGGAGCTTTGTGTCAAAAGACTTGGAAGTGTTGGTGGATGAGAAGCTCAGTGTGACCCAAGCTTATATAGCCTGAGGTGTCGGATGTGCTTGCCTTCAGCCCCTGGCCTGGGTGCCCACTCTGCACATCATTAGCAAAGCACACTTGATTGAGCCATGAGCACCAATAGTGTCTTACAGTGCCTGGGCGGTCACTGTATGTGGTTGAATGTTTGAGTCAATAATCACCAGCGGTTCAGTCTCTTTAAAGAAGGAAAAACACACACACACACACACACACAAAGACATATTTGGGGAAAAGAGAAAAGGTGGATACCAGACTCTCTGTAACCCAAGACAGGTGCTCAGTGCAGGAAGGATATGGACCTATTGAAGTGAGTCTGGAGGAGGGCCATGAAGATAATGAGAGGTTTGTAGTATCTCTTGTATGAGGACAGGCTGAGTGACTTGGGGTTGTTCAGCCTGAAGAAGAGAAGGCTCCAGGGAGACCTTGTGACCTTTCAATACTTAAAAGGAGCTAATAAGAAAGATGGGGGCAAACTTTATCAGGGCCTGTTGTGATAAGACAAAGTGTAATTTTTATAATCTAAAGAAGGGTAGGTACAGACTAGACATAAAATTTTTTACAATGAGAGTGGTGAAACAACTGAAACAGGTTGCCCAGAGAGTTGGTAGTTTCTCCATCCCTGTAAATATTCAAGTAATTGCAAGGGGATTGGACTAGATGATCTTCACAGGTCCCTTCCAACCCAAACTTTAATGATTCTCTGATCTTACAGTAATTTGATGTGTTACGATGTTTACCATTCATGATAGTCTTCCAAGTGAGTTTGCCAAGGTAGACATGAAAACAGGTGTTAGATATTGTCTACACAAATGGAAATCTGATGAAAACATAGGGAAACAAATGCTATTTAAGATCTTGATGTCTAACAAGATGTAAAATGAAATTTGGAAGACTTGTTTGACCAACCAGTTGTATAATGAATTCTACTGGATTTACTACCTCTGCATTGAAAGCTAGTATTTGTTCAGGTGACAAACTTGCCAAACTTGTGTGATCTCTGTGTCTCTGTTATTCTCTGTAATGAAAAGTAATAGTTTTTTTTCTCATTTAATAAGATTTTTTTACATCATGCAAGCTTTTCTTCAGTACCAAGATAAGTTATCGAGGAGCTTGAATAAGATTACCACTGTGGTGCCTGTTGCTCATGTTCTTATTTTATATAATACATAATAATTATGTAATGTAATATAAAACCTCAAATTCTGGCTTTTTTGACAGGTTGATGGTTGAATAGAATAGGAAAAAAAGTTCCAGTTTGCAGTGTGCTGATGCATGTTTAAAATGCTTTATGGCAGTGCTAAGCATACATCTTTTTGTTCTATGAGTGAAAAAGTAATTTATTTATACGAAATGTGGTTATTTTTCCAGCAGTCCATTACCTTATGCTCCAGAATCTAATATTTGAAAGTATTTAGATAGAATGTCATGAACTGAAATAGTTGAAATAGTTCATTGTGCATTAGATTGGCAGGGATGTAATGCTGGGTGTCCTGTTTTGGGAAAGGATATTACTCTGTTTATGTGTAAAAGTGAGCATTTATTGCACACAGCTTGTTCCTTTACTTGTAGGTCATTTGGGAATAACCAGGTTGATTTGTGTTTAAAATATGGTTAATAAATTACCTTGCCCTACAGCAGACAGTTACCTACAAAAGCATGTCTGTTATTAATTTTTTGTTAATATACTTTTCCTAGGAAGCATTTTTGCAGCTGTTTGTTGGAAAGAGGGAATACCTCCTTTTCACCAAATGTTGTGGTTCAGGAGCACAGTTAACATGGAGGCTTTCCTAATGCACCCAGAATTAGACTGTGTTTCAAAAAGAATAGTAAACACTTCTCTTTTCCTGTGTACAGGCACCTGAATTATGTGGGAGAAATGCAGAGATGAGCTGGTTGGTCACTTTGTTCATTTTATCAAGCCTTCAACTGAACATTCCCTGGGAAATGCATTGATCTCTCTTCCCCGGACTAATTCAGCTAATGAGTGAAACCTTTATTGCTAGATCACTTATATATTCTAACTTCTTAAGGGTAAATACCTTTGTATTTCAACAGATTTGTATTATAGAAATACAAGGGGTGGTTTCCTCGGGAACTGAGGCTTGTCAGTATCCTATAGTAATACTACATCCTGTTGGAAATTACATAAATTAAATTACAACCTTTAGATTGTAATTTCTGTATCTTTTTCAGTTGTGAAAATTTGGAATTGAAATCCTGAGTCTAAAGCTTCTGCAGATGCACCTAGTCTTCTTTTCTAGGATAACATGCAGTTGGATAGCTTGTTATATTCAGTGGTGAGTGAATACAGCAACTGAAGTAAAGCAATCCTTATCTATGTTTCCAGTAAAGTATGCTGAGGCTGGATATAAAGGAAAGGTGCTTTAAGGTGGTTGCAGGTTGTACCCCATTAACCTGTATCTTTTCCTTCTGGTATATTTAACTTTCCAAAGTCCTGACCACACCGTAACCAGCAGGTTATTTCTGCTGCTTGAAGTTCCGGACTTGTTCTGACAAGTACAGCACAGGAAGTCCCTCTTTCCTTGTACTCTGCACAGATGTTTTCCTGTGTGATCAGCCACCCAAAGCAAAACAACAAAAAGTTTAAACTTTAGAGATGAATGCACACCTCTGTAAAGCCATGAATCTCTTGCTGAAACACACAGCGTGGTAATGGGGTTCTACTGGCTTCTCTCCTCCAGGGAGGTACCTTTGTGGTCTGTGCTCTGTTACAGCAGTCTAATATGCTTAATTTCAAAAATGCTGGTGAAACTATCATGCATTTAGCTGGTTCTAGGTAAGTGAATTAGCAGAGTTTAATTGTGTTAATCTGGTAGGAAGACAGTAACTAGAAGCTTGAAATTTTTTATTATGAAATGTGAGTCAGGTTGTGATCCTGTGCTATTAACTAGGGTCTTCCAGTGCATTTACCAGCTTGGATACAGCTTTTTTATTAGTTGAATTGGCAATATATAGGCCTTGGAATATCAGCTGTCAGATGGATTTTATTATCCTACATACGATTTTTTTAAACTATCAACACATTATTAATGTTCTTACTATTCTCATTGCAAGTGGTTTTCAGTTTAAAAGTCAGAAGCTGCAAGAATCTGTGCAGGTATGGGAAAAGAGTAAAGGATGGAAAAGTATGGCAATAGAGCTTTGATCTCAGATGACAGCACTGGAGGACTTGGATAACATTTTTAAGTATTAGTTTTAAAGTGGTAGCATTGCTCAATAAACTAATACTCAGACCTTACTTAAATTCTGCTTCTGGGCTGAACAGAACCAGCATTCCTATGCTTTCTCATTCACTCTGGTTACCTTTAGTCTCTCGTGTTTCCCAGATACACACCTTTGTTACGTACCAGCCACTGTCTCACAGTAAAACACTAATTCTTTCATACATTGCTTACAGCACTTGGGTAAACCTTTTTTCATCCCCATGACATTGTGCTAAAATGCTCCTATTACGAAGAAAGTATGCTGTCCATATACACGAATTCAATTACAGTGCAGTAAGAGGGAGCTTGGGAAATCTCTACCCCGAACATGGTACTCACAACGCAACATCTTCAGTGCTTCACCGTCATTACCATTGAAACAGGATGGCAGAAAAGGCTTAGGGAATCAACATACGATGATTTTAAGAACAGCTGAAGTTATGTATTGTGTATGTTTGGCAGCTGAAAAGCCGAAACGCGGTGTGGTTTGTCGGGATCAACGCAATATGCCACATGAAACACGCGTGGAGAGGCCAGGCAGCAGCCTGGTGAGCCAGCGCCTTGCGTGGGTAGCTCCCAGCCGCGTACTGCCGACTGCGGGACCGTCGCCCGACTAGCGGACCGGAGCGGAGGGGAGGGCTCCGGCGGCCTTGCGGGAGTGCCAGGGCTGCCGCGGCCCCTGCCCCGCCGGCGGGCTGGCACCCCGCGCTCCGGCCGGGAGAGGGCAGCGCGCCCCTCCGAGAGGCGCCGGGGCTCCCCCGCCCGGGACCGGGGAGCCGTCGGGGCCGCGCAGGGCTCTCGGCGGGGCTCCCACCGTGCCTTCGCTGTCCTTTCGCTGCCGGTGGGGAGCTCGGGCAGCTGCCCCTGGGTCTGCTCCCCAGGAGTCGGGCACCACCCTGCCATCGCTCGGGGCCGTCACAAAGCTCCGTTCCCTCGCCCTGCGGGCTGCCGAGGCCCGGGGGCGGCGCATTGGCGAGGCCGCCCCGCCGCGCTCCCGCAGGCGGGCCGTCAGCGCCGCCGCCTACTCCCGCCGCGGCTGTGGCGGCCGAGCCGCTCCCGGGACGCTCGGTGCAGGTAAGGCGGCCTCTGCCTCGGGCGGAGCGGGGAGCCCGGCCCGTGGCACCTGCTACCCGGCAGCCCCGGGGCCGCTGCGCTGAGGGGAAGCGCTGCGTTGTCCCGAACCTTCGCCGGGGCGCGACGTCGAGCGCCAGGGAGCTGCGCCGATGTTCCCCGGCTGGGGCGGTGCGCGGTGTGCCCGGCCAGTGTCCCGGCACAGCGTGTGCCTGGGCTGTCATTTGCCTTCCAACGCCCCAAAACGGGGTAAAGGGATTTATGTGGTGTGGGTTTTTCTGGTTGTTTGGTTGTTGTTTTTGTTTGTTTGTTTGTGGTTTTTTTTTGTTGTTTTGTTTTGTTTTTTTTTTTAATTATATGTTACGGTTTTTTCTTAAGGTCATTATTTGGCCATAAAAGCTGTTAGTGGGTTTTTTTCCAAGTTTTTGCCACAGTGTGGACAAGGTACTCACTTTTGATCATAAATGTGCTTGCCTTTCTCAGAGCAAAAAAAGTTTTTAACTTGTTTCCTTTAACTTCTTCAACACACAAAAAATGTAAAGGAAATGAAAGCTTCTCTAACAGTAAAATAATAAGCAATTTTTGAAGCAGTTCTTAGGTGGATTTTGTTGGGACACTGGTGTGCAGAGCTTAGAGATACGCCAGTTTTCAACCTGCACAGTGATTTTTCTGTAGAAAAAAAGGCTGTGAAATTCTACGTCATTTTTAAGACTTATTCCTGCTCTATATCTATATAGAGATATAGATGTCCTATACAAAAATGAAGATAGTTCTTCTCATAAGTCATTATAAGACACACAACTGTGATTGAAAACCTAACAGATGTTTTCTTTTACAGAGGTAATAGCTCTTCACCACACATTGTGTAAGTAGGATTTGATTAAGAGGGATTTTTCCATGTAGGTAAAAAATTAATTGTATTCTGTGAATTCAGTATGAAAATTGACAGGACAAAATGGTGAAAATGTTTTAGTACTTACGTGCTCTTATTTTTCTAGAGGGGTGTTTGAATATCGACTGTAACTAAGAAAGTGTTGTGTAGATATATCTTAATATGCTACCAGGAATCATAATAATAATAATATGAACCTTAGGATTAAAGGGTGGGCTCAGTTCCGCGCACACTGTGTCTCACCTAAAAAATCCAATGCGCAGGCTGGAAGGTGTAAAGACCTTCCCCGGATCTTCACTCGTGAAGACTGGCCATTACCAGGAATCTCATTTGACTTGTAAATTATACATTATGTCAACATTTGTTCTGTAATATCATGGATGAATATTCCTTTTGCTTGATCTGAAACTGCTGCTCTTATGCAGAAGTTCCCCTTCTCTCCTCCCGAGATTAGTTCCTTTGTGGGGTCGTTTCAAAAGGATATGGTGTGTAGTGGCCTGATGCTCTTTGGATCTGTATAATATGTTGAATAAGAGCGTGCACAAGGATATAGGAAGGATAGCCTATGACTAATGCAGTGACTCAGATTTGCCCAGATTTTGGCTTTGCCATCCAAAAAGCAGCTCTTTGCATGGGCACACATCAGTCAGCACATGCATATCTTGATTTCCTGGTTATACATGGGGGAATATGGTAATCTCAGGTCGGGAATGTGTTCTGTGTACCTTCTACAAATAAGTATTTTAGTTTCCAAGGTGCTGCCTAGAAGAGGAAGCAGAATTTTTATCACAATGCATGTTTGTGCCCAAGTATTGAAGCTGCAAAAGTCTTTGCTTGTATGAGGAGTTTTTGTATGTTTTGACTGGAGTGCTCCTTTTTATTTTTTTCCTCTTCTGTATTAGCTTGAATATTACTACATCTGTAGCATCTTTTCACCACCTTTCTAGGAATGTTTATGGAATTTCCCTAATGTTGTCCGTTGAAATTCTTCAAAAATTACAGAATTTTCAAAATTTTACAGATTTCTGTAGCAACTAGTTGAGCTCTGTGAGTTGGATCTTCCAGGTTTAGCAGCATTAAGACAAGCAGGTACCACCAAACTACATTAATAGTTAGAAGAGGGCTATCAGGTGGAATAGTTACCCTTCTCAATAGAAGTTGCTTCCTTGAATATAAAAATTATGTCTAATGACTTTTAGTATAAAAAATTTATTTCTAGCTCCTAATGGCTTTAGAGTTTGTGGCACAGTCTGTAACTGTCCACGACAGTGGAATAGAGGTTACAAAAGAGTCATTAAACACACAGAATATCCCCTTACCCTGTTAGTTGTAGCAGTCTGGTGGATGGCCAAGCCCGAATAATGATGAAGTGTCACAGATAGCACTGGAGCATGCATTTAAATGCATATGTAGAACCAAACATTTCTGATCCACTTCTTTTCTACCTTGCCAGTAAACTGTACAACTGTGCTGCATGAACTCTGTAAAGGGTTTGCTTTTGCTCTAGTCCCATGGCTTCTTAGGGCCCAAACCAGGGAGTACTTAATTCTAAAAGCCGATAAAACTTTCATAATTACACAGCTACTCTCTCTGTCAAATTGGGTGTTGAAAGGGTAAGGGAGGTAAGACAGGTATCTGGCACTATTATCAAACATATTTTATTTTGTTTCAGTAACCTTACAAATAAATTTCGTGTGTTTTTTTTTTTTTTTTTTTGTCTTTCAGTAATGTGTAACCCACTTTCACATTTTAAAGGTTTCTAAAATCTAGAGCCCCGTTTTATTTCTAGTTGAAATGAAAACACTACATTAAGAATATTTATTCAGGAATGCATAAAGAATGTATTTTGCCAACCTCAGGAGCAGGCTTCTGTTGTAAGAGGCATTTTTTCCTAGAGTTGTTTCTGTGTTTTAAAACCCAAGCCTATTTTTAAAAGGTTAAAAAGTCTGATCCTTTCTTGGAGACTCTTTAAATATTTTCCCTTCTAAGGAACACAAAATGGCTGTACCTCTAACAAGTTAATAGAAATATGATAGCCATGAATTGGGTGATGTTGTTTTGGAGAAAGATTTAAGTTTCTTTTTTTCTCCAGTTGTTGAAAAGAGCAATGTTTTAAAAGGTGTTTAGCTGCATTTCTTCTGTTCACTTGCTTCCAAGAGCAGTTAACGTCTGGTGAAGTAATCAACACTAGTGCAAGCTGCTTCATGATAAATTTACTAGGCAAAGCTTTATTTTACCTCTCAGTTTGAATACTGTCAGAAGGCAGTAACTGAAAGTGCTTGTGAAGCTACTAGCTGAGGGTTTTGCTTTGTCCTCTCTCTAGATGTTCTGTGCTCTAGATGTTCAGGAAACCCAAGTGTAAAAATGATGCAAAAAGGTCATGTCAAAAACTTTGTCTGTAAAGTTTAAAACTTCAGTGGTAAGAATGTGGTATTTATTATCCATGTATTTTCAGCTTGCTACTTTTTCCTTTAATTTATTTCTTCCAAGGTCTCTTAGTCAGATCCAGAGAAAGGATCTGCACTTAAAAGAACATTCTGTACCACATTTGTCCCGGAGGCTGTGCAGTGCAGTTCCTGCTTCTTGGGAAACTGTGAGCGAGCCTTCAGTGTAGTAATCTAATGTAACTCATACGGAATCTGTAAATTCAGAAACACAGTTAGGTTCTGTAGCTGTGTTTGTTTAGAGGAATCTGTGGGATGAGCATTATTAGTGGAACCTGCCTAATCTGTGAGAACCACACTGAAATCTCAGTGGTTTTGAAGAGTATTAAGATCTAAGAGATATTGAGTATTTACAGTAATTCATGTCCATCTTAGAGTCTGCTCTCTTGTGGGTTGATGTAGCACCTACCTCCTACAGACTATTGCATGGTTAAAAATAATGAAACAGTGATAATGGTGACTGTAACACAGTCAACAGGCAGAAGAGAGCTCAGTAGACCTCTTGATATGCATGTGCTGCTAGCTTTTACAATGCACAAGACATTTTCTTAGGCGAAGATGTTACATTTTAAAGCATCACATGGGATGCTCTAGGTATTCCTGCCTGTCTCTCAGTTCCTATTGTTTCAGGTTATCAGAAATAAAGATTTAATGTGCTTGTTTTGATGGTTGTTGTAAGACTCTCTTCAGTGTTTTACAGGAATGAGTTTCCATTGACCATCACCAAAAAGAAATATAATTAAAAAAAGGAAGAATTGAATTCCAGGGCATCTGTGAAGCATCACTGGTGGTTTATTTACATAATATGACATTTTTGACACTCAGTGAGTTGATTTACAGTTTATGAAATAGCAGGTCTGTGGCACAGAGGTGTGGGATTATGGTGTGAAAAGAGAATATAATGAGCAGAGCATGAACAAAGACCTCATGTCTTCTTGCTTTGCACCTGCTTGCAAGGCTTGCACAGACTGTGGTCTGGTGCTGCTTAATGAGCCATGGAGGCTCATTCTGGCAGCCACAGAGCCCTGAGTTAAGTGAAGTCTGGAGGGGTGACTGCTGGATCACAGAGCAGCATCAAAGCCAGAGTCCTGTCTTCACCTCTCCCTTTCTGCCACAGTAATATGCTTTATTTACAGGGAAGGGGAGAGAGTCAACTTGCAGGTTGTGAGCTGGGTTGTTGTAGGATCAAAAAGTGTTCTTTTGTGTTTAGGAAAAGGCTGATGATAGACAGCCAAAGGCTGATGCTAAGACAACCAAACAGTAGTCGCAGTGTTGGCTGGAGGGTCACCTTGTCAACTGGTAGAAATGCTTTTCTGCTGAGATAATGCTTCCCTTTATCTAATTTATTTGGTAGATACAGAGTAAAAATGTTTGATAAGTCATATCTTAAAATGCAGTTAATCCAATACTGGCTGTTTTTATTTTCCATTGGTTTATTTCCTTATTGTGGTCCTTCTAACATATCTTGATAATCAGGGACACCATGCTGTAAAACGCTAACATTTGTAATGTTGCAAAAATTGGATATATGACAGTCCCATAATTGACAACCAATAAATAAAATATTGGGTGAGGAAAAGTGTTCGAGGGATTATTGAAATCTCTTGCATCTTTGATAAAATCTAAATATATGTTACTGTTTGTCGTAATAACTTGAGCTGGTCAGG